TTCTTCCTCACAGCATCCCTGGGGTGCTGTGCTTCCCTCTGGCAGGGATCAGATGGGCAGCTGGGAGTGGTTCCAGCCTCAGACCTGGCCCTGGGACTGATTCAGGCACCTCCCAGCCCCTGCCAGCCCAGGAGGAGAAGGGCAGGAGGGCTGCAGGCATGGTCCCACTGCAGCAGGATATTACTGCAGGGTCAGCAATGGGCCACGCTGGCTGCCAAGGTGCAGCTGCTGGGCAGAAGTTAAAAAGGGGCAGCCAATCTGCTGGGAGCTTGGGTGAAATTTTGGGGAATGGAGACAGACCAACACCCAATTGTGTTTCTGGGTTTCCAGGCTGTGCGTTGGACTTGCTGAAGGTTGAGATGGGGAGAAGAAAAAGGACAAGCTGTGTATCTTATGTTTTTTTAATGTATCAGTGACTGAGCTCCATCCTGGGACTTGGATTCTGTCATTTCTTGATAGCTGCCTCAGTTAATTGATCTTCAGATGATCCACTCAAGCTGCTGAATAGCTGAATTTTTTAAAGTGTGTCAAGGAGCAGCTTTGGAGGGAATGGAGAGCTTTCCTGGAGGGCTCACTCAGCTGCATCTTCCCTGTTTTCTCAACTTCTATTAATCTGTCTCAAACCTGGTTTTCTGACGGGAAACTTTCCATTGATGTCATGGGAGCCTTCCGTGGCCCACATCAAACAGCTGGGTTCACCAGGAATTAAGTGACTCTACAAATGTTTATGTTCAGCTCTTATTTGGAAGGCATGCTGACTTGGGAGGACCTGTGGTGGCTGTGGTATGCGGGGAGGATAGGTTGGCTGGCCAGCTTTTGTCTTGCCTTTGAAGGCTGGAAGTGCTGGCAGCTGCTCAGTGCCTCGATAAGGCTCAGGAGCATCTTTCATCCCTGGCTCCTGCCCTGGTTCTTGTCTCCTGCACTGGAGAGGTTTCTCAGTGGGTCACCTTCGTGTCACCCAGATGGCCAAGTCAGGACAGTGACAGCAGAAAGCTGTTGGCCTAAGTGCAGGTATGGAATTTTGTTGTTTGAGAGGGGAAAGCCACAGTTTAGTCTGCTGAGGAGCCCCAGGGAGGGAAGGGAGGGAGGACATGTATGTTCTTCAGACCCTGCTTACTCAGGCTTCTGTGGTGGTGTCAGAGCGTTCAGGAGGGGGGAACAGAAGGGGTAAAAACCACCTGAGCATTCCCTGTCCCACCCAGCAGCTCGGTGCTGGGCAGTGGCTGGCTGCTCCTCCCCTGCAGGACGTTGTGCCCTGAGCTGCAGCTGAGTCCTGGCACACTGGAGGTGCTGAGGAAGCCACTTGAAATATCACTTGATTCACAGAGCTCAACCTTGTGAAGCTGCTGCTCAGGAGTGAATTTCTGAGTGTGTCCCAGTAAGACTAAGGGGCAGATTTCACCCCTTGCCACTTGAAGCAGTATTGCAGCTACTGTGAGCAATGCTGCAGTGCATGTCTTGGGCACTTCTTTTGGCAAAAACATTTGTTCTGTGTATTGCCACAACTGCAATTTTCAGGAAGAAGTTGCTCTGGGATATCTGTCCCCTGAAAGCAGCACGTGCACTCCTGCAGCCACACTTTATATATATATATTATATGCTTTTATCCTCTTCATTTTGGTGCGCTCTGCACTTGCAAACATGATTTGTCTGGTTGAGCTTTCACACGGATAAAACTTCAAGCAGGCAAGCTGAGAAAGGCTTCTCAAAATTTCTGCTTTCTGAAGCCTTTTGGTGGATATTTAGGAAGCCAGCCAAAGCTTTTGGGTCGCCCTGCCTTTCTCAAACAACACAGCAATTTCCAGGGACCCTTTCAGGTGATGGGGAAAGCAGAGCATTGCATCACTGCCAGCTCCAGTGAGATGTGCAGTGTCTCTTCCTAATTATGGGATGTCCCAGGTCTATTACAGCTAAATACAGAGTCCAAGCGTGTCATTAAACTTTTTTTGCCTAATGACCAGTCAGAAAGCCAGCATCATCCCAGCATGCTGTCTGTGGGGAGCTGCTGAGTGTGTTCCAGTAAAGCTGGCAGTGTGAGTGTCTCTTGTGCAATCTGTCTGCCAGGAATATCCTCTCCGTGCAGCCCTGGGGAGCTGCTGGGCCATCCCTCCCTGCTGGAGTGTGCTCCTGCTGGGGAGGCTCCCCTCGCCCAGCCTGCTGCTGGAGTGGTTTGCTGAATGTTGACAAACGTCTGGGCACTGCTCTGCTCCGTGTTTATCCAGCTCTTTCCTTGGGTTTTCACTCCTGTAGCCAATGTTTGAGCTCCACAGCTTCTGGCAGCTGCCCCAGGAGTGGGAGGCGAGCAGCACATCTGGCAGGAGGCTGGCAGCAGCTGGGCCAGGCAGGGTGCCCTGTGCACAGCCATTCTCCCTGCCTGAAGCTCCAAAGCCCTCGCAGGTCTCAGGGAGCAGCTTTCCACACTCCTGCTGCTCAGGGGCAGCCTGGGGATCCGTGCTGCGCTCCTGCCGCTGCAGCAGGGATGGTGCTGGTGGAGCCCGTGCAGGATCAGTCCTGGGCAGAGCAGAAATGTCACTGCTCTGCAAGCATCTGTGCCCAGGCACCCTGGAGCTGTTCTGCCACGCTGTCAGAGCTTCCTTCTGCCCTGGGAGAGCTCCAGGAAACTCTGGAGGCCTGGGGCAGCGAGAAGGAGCTGGAAGCTGAAGCAGGGATGTTGTGGACCTGAGCAAGCCGAGGTTCTGGGTGACCCTGCTATAGCAAGCTTGGATCTGTCTGGACTCTTCTCCCCAGCTGGCTGCTGCAATGGCTGGAGAAGAGAAATCGCATCTCCTGGCTATGTTGTTGGATTTGGAAAGGGTTTTTCCACAGCTTTTGTTATGCTTAAGGGTGGTTGTTGTTCTCAGATTAAACTTGAATAGAAAACATAAGGCTGCTTCCAGCTTTCTGTCACAGACACCTTTTATCTTGCATTCATCTCTTCCAAGCAGATGCTGCTTTCATTTCTTCTACTCTTTTTTTTTTTTTTTTTTTTTTTTTTTTTTTTTTTTTTTTTTTTTTTTTTTTTTTTTTTTTTTTTTTTTTTTTTTTGCTACAGGACTAAAATTAACAGCCCTTTGATGCAGAGGAAGAAACTGTATTTCAGAGCAAAGTACCTAGTTACCTTTGATAATAAAACTGCTGGCTTTATCTTGGAGGTAATTCCGTGTTCCTTGGAAACAAATCTGAGAGCTGGAAGCTCCTGAACCCTGCTCGCTGTGGGTGAACATGCAGATCCCTCCTCACCTGGGAGCCCCAGTGGGTTTTTTGGGGTGGGAGGTGCAGGGGAGGCTGCAGGTGGGGAAGGAGGTGCCAGCCAGTGGTGCTGGTGTCTGCACAGGGTTCCTGAGTGTTCCTGACCCTGCAGCGTGTGGCTGCAGCTCTCATGGTGTCTGCACAGGGTTCCTGCGTGTTCCTCACCCTGCAGCGTGTGGCTGCAGCTCTCATGGTGTCTGCACAGGGCTCCTGAGTGTTCCTCAGCCTGCAGCGTGTGGCTGCAGCTCTCATGGTGTCTGCACAGGGTTCCTGAGTGTTCCTCACCCTGCAGTGTGTGGCTGCAGCTCTCAGGGGGTGCCAAGCACACAGCCTGAGGTGTGGAGGGATGGGGGGAGCACAGACAGAATTGTTCCTTCCTCCCTTCAAAGACTTGAGCATGAGGTCCATGTGAGCATCCAGCTTTTGGCTTTCATCTTTCCCACTTGAAAAGAGGAGCCCAGCTCCTGCAGTGCTTCCCAGAGGTGATGTGAGGCTGTTCCCAAGGGGCAGCTGGAAGCCTGCTGGCCTCAGAGGGAGGAGATTGTAAATGAGGTGAACCCAATGGGAAGACATGAGGATGTCTGACTCAATTCAGAAGACTGAATTATTTCTTTACTATAACTATGCTAAAATACATTAATATACTATATAAAAGGAGGATACTAAAACTACACACTACTTTCTCTGACTCTAACACAACTTGTGACCCTCTCTGAGAGCCCAGCCCCAGGTGGGTTGGATTGGGTTGGGTTGGATTGGATTGGATTGGATTGGCCATCAGGATCAAACAATCCTCACCAGAGCCCAACCAAGCACTCACCCCAGGGAAACAATTCTCCAAACACATTCCACATGGGAAAAACAAGGAGCAGAAATATAATTTTTTTTCTCTTTCATTTCTCTTTTGCTCCTCTATGAAGAATCCTGAGAGGGAGAGAAACGTGCTGCCACAGGACACAGCTGATGCACAGGGCTGAGGCACAGCCTGGCTGGAGCAGCAGGGAATGGAGAGCTCCTAACCTGGCTGGCTTGGCCAGGGCACGGAGAGAAGGTGATGTTGTCACCATTCAGCATGACAAGAAGTGTTTGGTGCAGCAGGGGCACGTCTGCTGTGCAGGGCATGGTCCAGGATCTCATTTCAGAGCAGGGGCAGGGAAATACCTGCTGGAGCTTCCAGACTCGCTGAGGGACACCGTGGGAGGTGTTTTTCCCTGACAGGCTCTGGGGTTCTTGCTTTAAAGCACCCGGCCCAGCTGTGTGAGGAGCCCCTGCTTCGGGCACATTGCAGGGTGCTGACTTCTGAAAACATCCTTTTGTTAAGTGCACAGAATGGTTTCCTAAACATTCTGAAAAAAGTCACTTCCTCAGTGACTCAGCTGTCTCCTCTTGTGAGACTTTTGTCTTCAGTGGTGACACCCTCAGACTCCACAGACCTCAGGACGGGAAGAACCTGAACCTGCAGCTCAAAGAGTGAAAGATCCACTGGGGGCCTCACACACAAGGCTGCAACCTCAGTCCTTTTTTTCAACCCTCAGTCCTTTTTTTCAACCCTTAGGGAGCCCAGCATGAAGAGATCTGGGTAAATATTACAGAGGAATGCTGAGTTTTTCCTCGTGCCAAGGTAAGGCAGTAAGGCATGTGAACTGTGTGTGTGGCTTAGAGTTATTTCTGTGTGGTGTCAAGGCACCAACAGCTGGGACAAGGGGTTGAAGTCACTTGTTTAGGATTTATTTGACCTGAGAATTAACTGGAATGACTTGGACAGAGAGGAAGATGCATAACCCCAAGTATGAGAAGCTCTGTCACCATGCAGCTGACCAAGCTTTGGAACAGGTTGCCCAGAAGAGTGGGCAGGCTCTGGTTTTGAAGGTTTGCAGGAGTAAACTGGTGACAAAGAAGACAGGATTGGAGTGCCAGGGAAGCAGGGATGGAGCACAGCTCCAGTTCTGCACCACGAGGCCCCGATTTTGCTGAATTTGCTCTGAATCAGAGCAGCATCCAGCTCCTGGTGCTGCAAGAATCTGCTTGGAGGGAGCAGAGCCTCCCTTGCCATGGACCAAGAATTGTCTGCTTCTAGTGCACGGCCCAGATTTCAGCCATGCTGTTTCTGTAGTGATGAGCAGCACCAGACACTTGCACAACTTCCCCTCTGGCAGGGATGTATTTGATGTAAATACATGTGCTGCAGCTTCAGACACAATAAACCTATTTGGGAGTAACAGGCTGAGTAATCTGGTGCTTGGCAGCTGCTCTGTTGTGGGGATTTTTGCTTTACTGTTAGCAGTGCTTGTGACATCTTTACATGAAAAAAGGAAAAGACAGTAACTGAACAACCTTAATGTTAAAATAGCTCCAGCTACAAGTGCTTTACCTGAGAGAAGGAATCCTGCTGGGTCTGTGTCTCCTGAGCCAGGTTATTGTATTGCCTCTAGGAGCAGGGACTGAATCCTCACACTCCACTGTGGATGTTTTCCAACCATCTTTTTGAGAAATGCTCTGCCCTGCCTGGGGAGGGACAGAGGGAGTTCTGGTAGGTGATTGAGAATGGATTTCTCTTAAAAAAATGAACTCGTTAACTGCTTTTAGGGGAGAGCAGTGCCTTGTTATCAAAAGTTTTGTCCTGATGGGTTGGTGAGGTTGTTGGTTAATCTCACAGTCATAGCCAAAAAAGTGCTTTTGATGCAGGAGTGGAAACTCTGGGCAGAGGTAGAAACATCAAACTTCATTCTTTCCACCCACTGCTGCCCTCGTTATCAGACAGAACTAATGAATCCTGATAGCTAAACAGAGATGAGGGGTGGACAGTGGGCAGTGTCTGCTGCAAATTAAGTGGGGAAATAAAAAGCAGGGAGTTGTTGTGCAATAGGGTGGTTTAGTCTGGATTATGTGGGCTCCTTTAATGCAAATAGTTCAGAACATAAACATTTACTGTTTAAAATTCATGGTGGCTTAATTGTGGAGGAAATGCCTCTCTAAATGCAGCCTGTCAAATGGCTCCAGTGCTGGAGGGAAAAGCATTCAGCAGTGGCAGTTTGGCCAGGCCTTTGAGTGCTGCTGGGTTACAAAACTGGGGTTGTGTTTGCCATGTGCCAGGGTAGATTTCAGCCTTAAAGGCTTCTGAGGCTTCTTCTGGAAGCAGGGCTTGTATGCAAACTCTCAACACCACCTGGAAAATCAGCTGGAGGGGGCTGGACAGCTGCAAAGGTGTAAGGAAGGTGAACCTGTGGATGTGAACCTGCCTGGACCTTTCTTCCTGCTGCTTGTGGGACTTATTTGTGATGGCTCCGAGTCTGCAAGCGGGCTGTAGGGTGCACCTGAAGAAATGGGGGTGTGAAAAGTCAGTGCCTTTCACACCACTGAGCTTCCTGCTGCTCCCTCCAGAGGAATCTCTGGCACCATCGGTGTCCCCAGCAGGACCACAGACCCTGGGCAAGGACCTGGGCACTCAGAGCAGGGTGGGGACTGTGCTGCTGCTCGTGCAGAGTCTGGGCTCAGCAGCAGCAATTGTTTAACCTGCAGAGCTGCTGCTGTCCTCAGAACACCCAGGACAAAGCTTCTGCCAGGTGGTTTTGGAAAAGAGACAAAAGAACAGCTTGAGGGTCCTGGCCTAAGTGGGTTGGCCAGAGGAAACTGGACCAGCAGTGCCTCATGCCAAGAACATGACTGTTGCAGGCAAATTACTTCAATGCAGGCAAATGACTTCAATCTGCCTGTGAGGAGCTGTTTTAGAGCCTTGAGTTGTGCCTGGCCTTTCATGTGCAGTTGACATTCATCAGTTACCTTATGCAGAACTGGAAGGAGCCTAATGACCTTTGAAACATCCACTAAACTTCCTCTGTGAGGAAAACCAGCCCCAGTTCACTTGTCTCATTTAAAGAAATGCCTTTTCTCTACAAGCAAAATTGCTGATTGTGACCTGCCTTCAAAGGGAACACAGATCTGTGCCACAAACTTCTGGAACTCCTTCTAGGCTGCTTCCATCATTACCAATATTTTGCAAAGTAAACTCCCTCCTGTTGCTCGGAATTGTTTTCTGCCAGATTATGCAGCATTGTAGTTCACAGGAACTGGCTGGGTAGGTGGACAGTGGAAATTTGTTTAAGTGTCTAGCAAGTGGCTTGGCTGGGGATGGGTGGTGGTTATTGCTTCAGGTTTTCATTTGCTCAGCTGTGCTGCTCTGAGTAACCCCAGTGCTCTGCTCTGGAGAACCAGACGCTGGAGGGATGGGCATTGCCAAAACAGCCAGAAATCCCCAGCAGAGCTGCCTGGGTGGTGCCAGGTGAGGAGGGAGAGGGGCTGCAGGTGCTGGCAGTGCTGAGCAGTGCCCTGCTCCTGCCTCCCCTGCTGGGCTCGCTGTGCCAGCAGAGCCCTGGCGCTGACTGCTGCAGTGCCCAGGTCAGCCCTGCCAACCCCAGGGCTCGTCCCTGACACATCTCCAGCACACGGACTCGTCAGTCACTGTGGGCTCTTGCTCTGCTGGAGCATTTTCCCCTTTGCTGGGGCTTTCCTCCTTCCTCAGCTCTTCCTTGCCCAGCCTCTGATGGGTGGCTGCAGCTTCACTTTCTGCGTGGAGCCCTGCCGAGCTGGACCTGCTCAGCCAAGCTGCTGCTCCTCAGGAGGTGGGGCTCGGCAGGTCGCCCCTGGGGCAGCCTTCTCCTCGGCTGAGGCTGCCAGACCCAGCCCGGGCTGCCTGCCCAGCCCCGGTCCCGTTGCAACACCCGAAACTCGCCCTGACCGCCTTGTCGGTGCCGTGTTCTGTCACTGCTGGAGCTGCCCAGGTGAGCTGCCTCTTCCAGGCTCTGCTCAGTGGTTGGAGGGTGGGGAGCTGCTGAGGCCAGGATGCTGCTGAAGTGAT